TCTGCTGCTGCTGCTGAGCCACCACGTCCCCCAAGGCCGGCTGTCCCCGCTTTCCTTCTAGCCCTGCATGCAATGAATCAGCTGAGGGTCCCTGGGGGAGACGGGGTAAGTCCTCCAGCGCTGTTAAAATCGTTCTCGACAAAAAATAGCTGGCTTAATAAACAGTAGCGTTTCTCCCAGGCCACGCTGTCGGTGCTTTGCTGAGCTTATGGGGATTTCTAGGGGAAGGGGAGAGGCTCCGGTCTGAAACAGCCTCGCAGCTCTGCAGGCAGGGCAGGTTTAGCCCCCAGTCCTGAAACAGGCACAGCCCATGTGTCCGGGGATCTGTCCCTTCTCACATCAGGGTGGTGACACCTAAAATCATGCTTCCTGAAGCAGCCGGGCACCTGAGCACATCTGTCAGGAGAGAGGATGCTGGTGAGACTGGATCTCCGGGAGACAGGGCATAATGAGCTCGGCTGAATTATGTCTCCAGCTACAGATGGAGCCCTCCCTAGGTGTTTTCTGGCCCAAGTAGCTGTGCTGAGGTCTCCATTTGCTTCCCTTGTTCTCCCCCCTCCACCCAGGACGTGTAGAGGAGGTCTGGGTGCAGGGCAGAGACTTCTCCAACTCCGCCTGAGTCAGGAGCAGCCACAGCTCTGATTTCAGGCTGTTGGGATTTGCTCCTGGGTGGGTCCCTTTAAAACCACTGGAGCCGGTGCTCATGCAAACATCAGCCTTTCCAAAGCAAATGCAAGCCGCTTATCCAGCCCTGCCATCCTGGCCTCAGCATCCGTTCCGGCTCCTGGCTTTGAAACCGTGAGCTTTTGCAGATGGAGAGATGGATGCTGGAGCCAGCAGGATTTCCCCTTTTTCTGCTGGGCTGAGGTAAAAAATAAAATAAAATGAAGAAAACCTTAGAAACAAAGTGCCCAACCCATTCCTCTTCCAAACCTAGATCCTGGTGAGTCTAGGTTTCATTGCAGATGAGCCTTCGCTGGGGCTCCCCTGGGCATGGACTCTTCAGCTCTTACAGGAGCCTAAGTTGCCCATAGCTCCAAAATCTGGGTATCCCCCCAAATCCCAGCCCTTGGAGCTGGAGGGGTGGATGAGTTTTCCTGCCATCCCCTGCCCTGTCTCTGGGCTGCCTGCACAAGGGGTCACCCAATGTGTCTCAAACCTGCCCTGGGGAAACACCCCGGGGACTGCCGTCCTGCTGTAAGGTGGGTGCAGCAATGGGGTGCAGAGCACCCATGGGTGGCAAGCAGCCTGCAGCACAGATCCACAGCCTCTCTCCTCGCCGCTGCTCAGGGAGGAGCAGCCTGCCTGGCCCTGCCTGCGGCTGCCCTTGGGCTGTTCTTGGGCTGTTCAGTGCCGGCATCAGGTAAGAAAACAAGCAGATAAAACTGGCAGGCTCCCAGCCGGTGCCAGAAAACACCCACCTCTGTTACAATAAAAACACCAGCAAGCCCAGTTTTTTTTTTTTTTAAGATATACACAGAGATTAGGCCATCTTAATGAGGCAGTAAAACACTTTAATAGCTCCCCCTGCTAGTTTTTAAAAAGTCCCCTGGGCTTTCCCCTCCCCGCATGCAGCTTGGCTCCAAAAGGGCCTGTCCCCTGAGCGCTGCAGCCATTTAAGCAATTTATGTTCATTCCTGCAGGGAGGCAGCATGAAAACAACCTTTTCCCCAGGGGGGAAGAGCCTGGTCCCCATGGTCGGAGGGGAGGTGGCATCCAGCTCCTCCGCCAACCACCGTGGCCTTTGGTCTGGCAGTCCCATGGCCCAGTACAACCCTGTGGACCCGCTGGTGTGGGGTGCATTGCTGTGGGGTGTCCTGGGGTGTGGGTGCAAGCGCAGCCTGTGGGGTCGGATCCTGGCACCCCCACCCTCCTTGGGGCTGTGGGGGGGATGGTCCCTGTTGCCCCCTGTACCATTCCCTGTGCATTGCTCAGGGATCAGATGCTGGGAGGAAAACTCTGTGAGTTAGGGCTGCTTGGGGGTGCTCTAAAATGAACCCTTTGGGCCATGCACGAGCACCAGCTTGTCTCGAACCCCCCTGCCCCGCCCCTGCCTCCGGCACCCACTGCTCAGAGATGAAAAGATAAGGAAAGGTCCAGACAAAGCAAGTCTAACCCAGGGCTGACGGTGTCCTGCTGGCTGGTCCCCCAAGCCGAGCACAGACTGCCTTGCAGGGTGACCTGCCTGAAAATCAAACCCCTAGAGAGAAGGTTTTCAGCTAGAGCGGTGTGATGAAGTGACCCAGTGACACCAGTGGCAGTCGGGGGTGGCGTCCCCCAGGCCACCCTAGCCCCTGGGGGAGGGATGAGCCCATGCACCCTGCGGTTCTCTGCGAGCCTTGCTGGGGAGCAGTGCTGCGAGCAGAGCCCTGGGCTGACCCTTTGCAAGCAGCGTGAGGCAGGAGAGGCCAAAAAATGGGGCAGGAAGGGCTGGTTATGCCCCCGAGCCCTGCTCTCAGCCTGCCATTGTTTTGGCAGCAGGGATGGTCTTCTGGGGAAGGCTGAAGTGTTGGTACTGGTCAGAGCAAAGCAGTGACCCCCAGGGAGTGCCCCATGATGCCAAAACCACCTCCAGTTCAGGATGGCACTCAGTCCTGGTCCTGGGGGACCTGCCTCCCAGCTTGGCTGCATTATCCGGCCCTCCTCCAGCCAGCACCTCTCACCCAGCCCACTCCCTGCACCCTGCCCAACACTCCCCAGTATGAGGTTAAACCAGCCCACCAGCCCGGTGGAGGGTCCTTGTGTCCTGGGTTTCCAGACGGTTTCCGGCTTTTCCTTCCCAGGGTTACAGGTCTCCAAGCAGTAACCTCCTACAGGTTTTGTGCAGAGGCAGCCAAGAAGAAGGGGGAGATGTCGCCCACTGTACACCTTCTAAGGAAAGGGCTCGTAGCATGTGCTCAACCTCTGTTACACACCGGAGAAGCCACACCAGGCAGCAGATGCTCCGACAGGCACCAACTGTGAGTCTCACGGTCACCTCCTGCCTTCTCCCCACCTCTGGGACCCCCCGACCTCCCCTCAAGTCTACTCTTGGTGTCAGCAGCTAAGTGACCGGGAGGCTGGTGAACACAGGGATGAAGCTGGAGCGCGAGCCAGGAGCAAGCTCAGCCTTTGGAAACGCCTCTCCGGGCTGTTCCCTGCCTGCACTGGCAGCTGGCCAGGCCTTTGCTTTGGAGACATTAATCCTCCGGTTTTAGAGCTTCCTGGCGCTCCTTGGGAGCGAAAAACAAGCACGACTGCTCCAGGCCTTGTGGATGTATGGGCATGGGTGCGTGATGAAGACGGGCTTGGGCTTGGGGACGCTGGGTGCTGAGAGGGAGCAGTGTCACAGCTGTCCCCTCCCTCCTCCCTGGGTGGTGGGCACCCACCCTGGCCCATCAGGGTCCCAGCTGTGCCACCTTCTCCTTCTCACTTGCGTGCCCCATCACTTGGCAAGAGTCCCCCCTGCTTCCCACGCCGGGCTGGGACCTGGGGTGACACCAAAAGCTGTGTGTGCCCAGGAGACCTGTGTGCTCCTGCCACCGCCTCCTGCTCACCAGCCCTGCTTCAGTCCCTGGCGGGAAGGGGAAGAAAAATCTGAATTGCTCTTCTGAGAAATTAATCTGCTTTCACCGTCTTAGCGCAGCCTGACCTAGAAGACGCCCCCTGTTGTGGGTTTTTTTTTTTTATTTTCTGTGGGATGTTTAAAGGGAAAATTACAGCAAACGTGTTGCAAAGAGGCTGTGTGAGACAGGGACTAGACCTGCAGCAGGGGGAGGAAAGCGGTGCAGGCAGGGTCCGAACGGTGTTAGGCAGGATTTCCTGTGCTGCCCTCTCCTGAGAGACCCTCTGGTCCCAGGGGCTGGAGAAAATTGCATCTGTTGTGGGCAGCAAACCAGAACCAGTAAAAGGTTAAAAGATGTGTTGGGTTCCTCCTGGCAGGGTGCAGAGGCAGGGGGACTTTTGGCTGGAGAGAAGTAAAAGCTGAGCTGCTTAAGGGAGAAATCGTGCGGCAGCCGGGGGGGCAGGAGGGGCTGGCAGGGGAGGGCAGGGACACTGCCTGGCCAGGGCTGATGTCCCCGTGCTGCCCTGCCACCTCTCAGGGGATGTTGGGATACATCTCCACTGGGGACACCAGTGGGGAGGGATGGGGAGCAGGACCAGAGGGCCATGTCCCCAAATGGGAGCAAAGCAGCTGCAGCACTCACAGTCCTCCACAGATGGCTGTGGTCCTGGGGGGGACTGGGGCTGGCGCTGGGTGGGGGGACAGTGCTGGCCACTGGGACAGGGATGGGAGGTGGAATACGCCTCTCTCAGGCTCCTGCCCCATTGCACCTCCCGCTGCCCCATTTCACATCCCTTCTTCCCAGACCCCGCCATCCCCAGGTATGAAGGGGTTTGCATGGCCCAAAAGCCATACCTGGCTTTGCAGGTGCAGCCTGGGTAAGGGAAACCAGCCACCCCCAGGAAGGGGGGGTGCAACACTCGTGGTCCTCCAACACTTCCTGCAAAGGGGTTTTGAGCACAGAACCCGCCCCAGCTGGGAT